AAGAGTGCCCTCGATGCGTCAAAACTGCTTCCAGGAGGCCCGCGGGAGGCTTCCGGATTGCCTCAATCTGGCCGCAGGTGGCCTCAAGAAGAGGCCTCCACGCAGCCAAGACGGCCAATGACAGATTGCAGAACCGATGCCCCCAAGGGACCCTCAGACGCCCCCCCAAGAGGCACCCAAGAGGTGCCTCCAACAGCCAGTTGACGAAGCATGCGGAACACACCAGAAGCTCCTCAGATGCCGTCGCGCGCTTGCGCTTGATAGCGTTGTCCAAGATGGTCCAGCGCCCCCCCGGCCTGGGCTAGAACCTGAGCGCGCGCGAAGCGCGCGCGCGATGGTTCTAGTATATATATATATATATATGTATATATGTATATAGATATACACATATATGTGTATAGATACACACATATATTACACAGAGATAGAGAGAGAGAGAGAGAGAGAGAGACGAGGCTACGTGAGACGGGAAGGCTCAGGAGCGGGATGAACCGCTCCATTGCGGTCTGGAGCGCCCTCGGAGCGTGCCCTGGCGCTCTGGATGAGCCGCGGCGCCCGCGACACCCTCCGGAACCGCCGGCTCCCAGAGCTCCCCGGCTCCTCCCGATCCGATGCCGTCCCGCTCCGGGCTTCGTTCTGCTCTGCTGCGGCGCCGCCGCACGGGCCCCCGCAGCCTGCGCGCGCAGAGACGCGGGCAGAGTGCAGGTCCAGAACCGCGGCGTCGTGGACTTTCTGGGAAGGGGCGCCGAGAGGCCGAGGCGCAGTGGCTGTGGGTAAAGCTCTGGCCTCCAGGGGCCAGGTGTGTATCCGTGATGAGGATGATGAGGATGATGAGGATGCTGAGGATGCTGAGGATGAGGATGATGAGGATGATGAGGATGAGGATGAGGATGAGGATGAGGATTAGGATGAGGATGAGGATGAGGATGATGATGATGATGATGATGATGATGATGATGATGATGATGATGTTGATGAGGATGATGATGATAATATGCTGCTGGTGATGATTATGCTGATGATGATGCTGCTGCTGATGATGATGCTGATGCTGATGCTGATGATGATGCTGATGCTGATCATAATGATGATGACGACGATGAGGATGAGGATGCTGCTGATGCTGATGATGACGATGAGGAGGGTGATGATGAGGTGATGATGATGATGATGATGATGATGATGATGATGATGATGATGATGATGATGATGATGATGATGATGATGATGATCTGGCCTCTGGGGGGGCCAGGTGTGTATCCACGTTCACTCCGCCTCCCAGGGTGCTGGGAGAGGGCGCCCCGAAAACTCCACGACTCCACGACTCAACGGCCAGGGACACGAGTCCTGCCCGCAGCAGAGGGCCGCGGACAGAAGGCGAGCACCAGCGCGTCGTCGTCGCACGTCGTCGTCGCTCGTCGTCGTCGTCGTCGTCGTCGCTCGTCGTCGTCGTCGTCGTCGTCGCGCCCGCGTGGGGCCGATCGAGACGATGACGACGAGGACGACGACGAGGCGCGCGCCATGCGCGCGTAGCCTCGGCTTTGGCGCTGGCAGGCCGCGCTGACGATGGGCCTCCGGCTGCTGCTGCCGACCGCGCTGAGAGCGTTCAAGGTACCGACGGGGCTGGAGGCCCCCCCGGCGGGATCGCTCAACGAGCGCCGACGACGAGTGACGACGACGACGACGAGGACGACGAGGACGAGCGCCGAGCGACGACGACGACGATGGCGACGTCGATGACGAGGGACGACTACGACGACGAGCGACGAGCGACGACGAAGACGACGACGACGACGACGAGCGACGAGGATCACAACGAGCGACGAGGACGATGACGACGAGGACAACGACGACCACGAGCGACGATCGACGACGACGACGATGAGCGACGACGACGACGAGCGACGACGACGACGAAGACAACGACGAGCGACAATGACGACGAGGACGAGCGACGACGACGACGATGACGACGAGGACGACGACGACCACAACGACGAGCGACGACGACGACGAGCGACGACGACGACGAGCGACGACGACGACGATCGACGACCACGACGACGAGCGACGACGACGACGTCCAGGACGACGAAGAGCGACGACGACTATGACGACGGTGACGACGAGCGACGACGACGACGGCGACGACGATGACGACGACGACGACAAGCGACGACGACGAGCGACGAGCCACGGCAACGAACGACGACGACGACGAAGCCGACGACGACCACGAGCGACGTTTGGCTACGGCGACACGCGACGACGAACAAGCGACGACGTCGGTGACGACGACGACGAGCGGCGAGCGGCGATCGGCGACGACGACGACGAGGACGACCACCAGAGATATCGACAACGATGATGACGACGACAACCTTCGACGACGATGTCGACGAGAACGACGACGACAAGCGACGATGACGACGACGACGATGACGACGATGACGACGACGACGACGACGACGACGACGACGACGGTACACGATCGACGACGACGACGACGAGCGTCGACGACGACGAGGACGACGAGGACGACCACGACGACGATGACGACGACGACGACGATTGCGACGACGAGCGACGACGAGCGACGACGACGACGACGACGAGCGACGACGGCAATGACGACAATAGCGACGACAACGACGACGATGAGCGGCGACGACGACGACATCGGTCGACGACGACGATGACGAGCGACAACGACGACGACGACGAGGTAGACGACGACAACGAGCGACGATCGATGACGACGACGACGACAAGCGACGACGATGACGACCAGCGACTAGGACGATGACGACGACCTCGCGCGATTAGAAACGACGACGGCGACGACGTCCACGAGAGACGACGATAACAACGACGAGGACAGGCGACGATGACGACGAGTGGCGACGATGAAGACGACGGTGACGACGACGACGACGAGAGACGACGACGACGACCAAGAGCGACGACCTTGACGAAGACAAGAGACGACGACCACGACGACGGCGACGACAACGACGACGAAGAGCGACGACGACGACGGTGACGACGAGGACGTCGAGGAACACGACGACGACGACGGCGGCGACGACGAGCGACGACAAGGAGGACGGCGACGAAGACGAGCGACGACGACGACGACGTGGATGACAACCACGAGCGATCACGACGTCGACCAGCGACGACGACGACATTGACGACGAGCGACGACGACAACCAGCGACGACGACGCTTACGACCATTGCCGGCGATGACGACGAGCGACCACGACGACGACGATAAATGATGACGACGACGACAAGCGACGACGACGAGAACGACGACGACGACGAGCGACGACAACGACGACGAAGACGATGAAACCGTCGACGACCACGAGCGACGAACATGAGGAGGAGCGACGAGTACAACGACGACCAGCGACAACGACGACGACGAGCGACGAAGACGATCGACGACGACGACGACGACGACGACGACGAGCGACATCGACGAGGACGACTATGACGATGGGCGACGACGACGTCGTCGAGCGACGACGATGACGACGAAGACGATGACGACGAGCGACCAGAACGACGACAAAGACGCGCGATGAGCGACGACCACGAGGACGGCAGCGACGACGACGACGACGACGGGGGACGACTACAAGCGACGACGACGACGACGAGCACGACCACGACAACGACCACGAGCGACGTCGACTGTGTCGACGGCGACGACGAGCGAGCGACTACGATCACGAGAGACGACGATGACGATCACGAGGAAGACGACGACGACGACGACAAGCGACAACGACGACCAGCGACGACGACGACGACGAGCGACGATGACGATGACCGACGGCGACGACGATGACGATGACGACGAGCGACGGCAGGCGACGAGCGACGACGACGACGAGCGAGAACGGTCGACGAGCGACGACGACGACCACCTTTGAAGATGACGACGGCAAGCGACGACGACGACGAGGGACGACGACGACGAGAGACGACGAGCGAAGACGACGAGTGACGACGACGACGACCGACGACGACGACAACGACGACGAGCGACTACGAGCAAGGAACACGACGACGAGCGACGACGAGCGAGGATCGACGGCGACGACGACAACGACGACGGCGACGACGACGACGAGCGACGACGACGACGAGCGACGAGTGACGATGACGACGACCTCGACGATGGCGACCAGCGCCAACGACCGACGACCACGACGACGACGACGAGGTCGACGACGACGAGCGACGAGCGACGACGATGACGACGAAGACCACGACCACGACGACGACGAGCGACGTGCGACGACGAGCGACGACGACGACGACGGTTACGATATCGACGACGAGCGTCGACGACGAGCAACGACGACGAGGGCGTAGACGACGACGACAACGTCGCGCGACGACGACGACGACGAGCGACGACGAGCGAGGATCGACGGCGACGACGACAACGACGACGGCGACGACGACGACGAGCGACGACGACGACGAGCGACGAGTGACGATGACGACGACCTCGACGATGGCGACCAGCGCCAACGACCGACGACCACGACGACGACGACGAGGTCGACGACGACGAGCGACGAGCGACGACGATGACGACGAAGACCACGACCACGACGACGACGAGCGACGTGCGACGACGAGCGACGACGACGACGACGGTTACGATATCGACGACGAGCGTCGACGACGAGCAACGACGACGAGGGCGTAGACGACGACGACAACGTCGCGCGACGACGACGACGACGACCACCACGAGGGACGATGTCGACGACGACGACAAGCGACGACAAGCGTCGACGACCACGACTAGGGATGAGGTCGACGACGACGACGAAGATGACGACTCTCCTCCTTCTCCCTACCCACCACCTCCTCCTGCCTCCTTCTACGCGGGCCTCCGTGGCCATTTTTGGCTCAGCTCAGGGCGCCGAACTGGTGGACGGCTAGCCGCCCTTGCACGGGCGGCCGGGCTCCATGGGGCCATGCAGTGGTGCGGCGGGCATGGCGGCGCTGTCCGAGGCGCTGGTGCAGTGCCCGTCTGCGGCAAGCGCCTTCGGCGCAGCCGCCGCCGTGCTGGAGGCGGGCGTGACGGGCAAGCAGCTCGCCACGCTCATCGCTGCGGCTGCTCGCGACGCTGGTCAGGGCGCCCAGTGGCAGGCCGCTGCTGGCGATGGTGTGCGAGGTGATGGTAATGGCCTCCTGACGTGCATGGAGGAGGCGCTCGAGGAGGTGGGCCGCGGCGTGAGCGGCGGCAAGCTGTCGGTGTCCGACGTCCGAGGCCAAGGCCCATTTGCGCAGCGCCGGGCAGCCTGGGGCCCACATGGCTGCGAGGCTCGGGCGCCTCAGCAAGGCGCGCAACGCGTCGGGCCACGCCGACGTGAGGCTCTGCGACGCCATTCGCGGGTTTTTCGGGGCGCGGGCCGAGAAGGGCTCCGCCACGGGGGGCGCTCCTTTCGGCCCGCGGCCGAAGCTCGATGATGTGCCCATGAACGACAAGGTCGAGCTGCGGGCGATGCTCAACGAGGCGCCGACCCGGAAGGTGTCGCTGCCGGTTGCGCTCTTGGAGGGAATCTCGGAAGGAGAAGGACATCGACATTGCGGGGGAGCAGGTCGAGGACGACATCTAGGCACGTCTGATCTACCAACATGGTGAACATCCTGAAAGCACAGGCCTTGAGGGACAACTCCATGACCTCCTACATGATGTCGAAGAAGACAATGGCGGTGCACCCCAAGCACCTCAGCAGGTCCGAGTTCAAGAAGAAGGCCTTTGCGGACAAGTCGGACAAGATTGTGATGGACCAATCATCGAGGCCGATGGTGAAGAGAAGAACGAGACGGCGATACAGCACGGCCTTCGCAAGTCCCTGAACCCAGTCGGGGGCGAGTTAGAGGACAAGCTGAAAGACAAGCTGAAGGAGGATGAGGGCATAGCCAAAAGCACGATTCGCAAGTCCTTGACCCCAGTCGTAGACGAGTTCGCGGGCAAGCAGAAGGAGGATGTGTGCATCGTCGAACACATCGCGATGAAGGTGAAGGTGGTGAAGGTCCCGCCGTGGGAGCGCGACGCGCCCGATGACAACGAGGACATCCGTGCCTCCAAGCGCAGATTCCGCGAGAAGCTGGGCAAGCAGGCCGCAGCTGATAGTACGAAACAGGTCGCCTGGGGGCAGCGTAGCGGCTCTCACGGGGTGCGGAGGCGGCGGCGGCCACAGGTTCACGCGTGGCCGAGGCAGGCCGCGCCTGATGGAGTCGTGGGTCGGGTCTTGTGCCCGGGTTGCCCCGAGACAGCACCCGCCCCGCCCTGCCCTGGTGGTGCCAGGCAGCACTGAGGGGGTCCGCAGGTGGTCGTGAGGCCGTCGCCTAGCCTGTGAGCGCGGGGAAAAATGGCACGGAGCAGCAGGGGGGGGGCAGGGGACAGCAGGGAGCGGGCGGATGCCAGCCGGCGGGGTCGATCAAGGCTTCTGGGCGGTATCGATCGAGTTCGGGAGGGGGGAACACAAACCCCTCATCTTGGCATCGCTCGGCGAGGACCGTCGAGGAGCATCCTGGATCATCTGGACATAGCAGATACCGAATAATGCGCGGGGCATGGACGCTCGAGCGATGGCGAGTCACGGGAGAAAGGTTTCGGAGGGGTTGCCGGGGGTTCCCCCCGGACCTCCCCCACAACCTTCTTGGGGAGAATGAGGTTGTCTGCGCTTGGGAGGAGGAGGAGGAGGAGGAGGAGGAGGGGGAGGAGGAGGAGGAGGAGGAGGAGGAGGAGGAGGAGGAGGAGGAGGAGGAGGAGGAGGAGGAGGAGAGGGAGGAGCAGGAAGAGAGAGACGAGGAGGGGGATAGAGGCTGGCGTCCTTGAGTTTTGCGTTCCTTGGTCCCTTGAGGTTCCCGCGGGAATTTCGGGGCGTTCGTTTCCAGACATTTCCGGTGCTCCCCTCTGCGTCTTGCAATCGCTGCTGCTTCCAGTTTTCCTTTTCTCTCCCTAGACACTCGCTAGTGGAAGCCCTCGTTCCTCCGCCCTCCCGTCGTCCTCCTCCCTCCCTGCCAGCCTACATCGTTGTCGTTTTCATCCTCCCCGTTCCCTCCTCTCCCTCCCCTCCCTCCCTTGGCGTTCTCGTCGTCGTCGTCGTCCTACTCCTCCTGGTCTCCAGGCTTCACGTTTATATCTGAAGCGCCGGATATGTGAAAACCCATGGCAGCATGTTTTCATTTCGTCATGACGCCGGCCAGGATTACTAGTCTTCAGGTCATCGCGTCTTAAGGTCGTTGGACAGACCAGCTGAATTTCAGGAGCCAACAGAACATAACAGAAGACAAACAACTACTATTCACTTCGCTACACTGCAATACAACACAATACACCACAATACAATACAATGCACTAGAAAACCATACTTTTTCAATTCACTACAACTGAGTGCAGGACATACGTACAATGTTACATACCTACCTGCTTACACGCATCCATTCATGTGTACATTCATGCAGTCATACAACCCCATACGCATAAAGATGCATACGTACATTCAGACACACATGCGTGCGCACAGACGCACACACATACCCATACACACATACGCATACACATACATCTACGCATACACACATACACGTACACACGCGTATATATGTAGATATTTGTATCGCACACGTGCTCATTTGCATACACATACACCCACATGTTCACATACGCATGCACATGCAAGTACACATACACATACACATACACACATCCACACACGCACGCGAGCGGGCGCCCTCCATCTGGAAGCCCTCCTCTTCTCCCATCGTGTGGCGGCGGAGCGGGTCGGAGTCGCATCAGCAGGGGGGTGGGCAGGGCAGGGGCACGGCAGGGGCCGAGCCGCCGGCTGCTGCGACGATGATCGCGGCGGCTGCAGGCAAGCAGAGCACGCAGGCACCTCCCTCTGCCTGCAGCACCTTAGCTTCAAGTCGGGCGTGTCCCTCTGCAGGAGGAATCTTCAGGCATAGTTAAACAATGATACCGGAGACAAATCCCAATCAGGGCCATAAAGCTAGGGGGCTATAGGGCTGTTGAGCTATAGGGCTATAGAACGATAGGGCTATAGAGTTGTAGGGCTATCGGGCTATAGGGCTATAGGGCACCCCCGGGCACGTCCGGGCAAGCTCTGATGGGGGAAATAGCCTGGGGACGATTTTTGGAGCATTTTTGGCTGTTCTTGTATATGTTTGGGGTATGTTTCATTTTTCATCCAAAATCCGCCTGTAGGGGGACATGCCCGACCTAATCTTAGCTAGCGCCTCCATTCCACCTTTTGGCACTGCGCCTGAGTTGGTGGGCTTATCTTCCACCGCCAACACCATGTGTAGGAGGGGGACGGGGTCCTCCTCCTCCTCCTCCTCCTCCTCCTCCTCCTTATCTTTTTCCGCCCCCTCATCCTCCACCCCCTTTCCCCCTCCAACTTATGGTGATGGTGGTGGTGGAAGACAGGCCCACCATCATTGCTTCACCGCTGCGCGCGAGCAGCCCCGCCGCGCGCGATGGGATGTCTTGCGGCATGATTTTTGTTTGGGGTGGTGTCGGACGTGCGACGGTCGTGGCCGCCGCCGCTGGTGGCGCAAACTTCCAATTTCTGGTGGGCAACCCCGAGAGACCTCCTAGTTAGGCCGTGGGTGACCTTCCCCTGCCTCGGCCAGTGAGGGTATCAGGTTCCGACCTGGAGGTCACCTCGCTGGGTTTTCCTCTTGAGAGGTGGGAGAGGCCCTTGCGCCGTCCTGATCTTAGCGCGCGTGGCTGCCCAGCCGCCCGCGCTCTTCCGCCGCGAATGTCGTAGCTTGAACATCCTGCCGCACCGCGGCTGCCTCGCTTTTTGACAGCATCTCCACCTCGAGGCTTATGATGGGGCAGGGCAGGCCGCCACCCGCACCTGCGTTGGCCAGGGCGGCCGCGGCCACCAGCAGCCACGGCCTACAGCTCAGCCCTCACCCAGCGTGCCGCCGTTGCATTGCCAACCGAGGCCTGGCGGACAGCAGCCCCGCTGCAACCCAGCCCACCTTGCGAGTCACTGCCGCAATAGTGGGCGGGAGGGGGGGGTAGGCGGGGGGGAGGGATCCAACCTCCACGACCACCGCTCTTGGTAGAGAGCCCCTTGGCGGCCACCTGCTCATCGCTCGGGAGCCCTACGCCTGCTGCGCAGGTGAGGATCCCCGTTGTTGGACCGGCGGCTTTCCCGCGGTGGGTCGGGCGTGGCCGTGACCTGCCGCGCTCACCGTACCGCAACTGCTGCCCAGCGCTCTCACCATCACGCAATCTCCGATGCAACAAGCTTATCCCTAACATCCGACCTCCTTGCTACGCATTCCTTCGGACACCTGCTGTCCTTTGGTTCCCCCCCAGGGTGCAGGAGGACAGGGTTACCCCGCCTCTGGGGCGTCTGCGGGTCGTCTGCCTTCTTTTTCACTACAGCTTCCCTACTTTGATTACCCCCCCCGACGGTCGACAGACCTGGGGGGGGCGAGGGATGGCAGCGTTTGACAGACAGTCATGCCACCAGTGCCCAGGAGGAGGAGGAGGAGGAGGAGGAGGAGGAGGAGGAGGAGGAGGAGGAGGAGGAGGAGGAGGAGGAGGAGGAGGAGGAGGAGGAGGAGGAGGAGGAGGAGGAGGAGGAGGAGGAGGAGGAGGAGGAGGAGGAGGAGGAGGAGGAGGAGAGGAGGAGGAGGAGGAGGAGGAGGAGGAGGAGGAGGAGGAGGAGAGGGGGGGGAAACCGCCGCCGAACCACCCGGGAGGACGAGGGCGAGGACGAGGGGCAGGGGCGAGGACGAGGAGGAGAGGGGGAACGGACGAGGGGGCGGGGGAGGCAGCGAGCACTGAGCACGCCGCGCGGCTCGAGCCGCTGCGGCGGCAGCGGAACCGGGCCGAGGACGAGGGGAGGACGAGGAGGCTGCCGGCCCCCAGGCCTTCGGCGGCGCCGAGGCGCCCCGCCCCGCCCCGGGAGCGGGCCCGCCGGCCGGGCCCCCGCGGGCGGGCGGCAGGGCGCTGGCCTGGGCGGGGGGCCGTCGACCCGGTCAACGACAGGGGGGGATGCTCAAGCAGTGGCGAAGCGTCTTGGAGTGCCTGTAGGCCTACCATCAGGAGGAGAAAAAACACACAGACACCATTAATCGTCGTTTCCCAGAAAATATGGGAAAGTATGGGCAGTGAGGGGGAAGACAGAAACCCAGAAGATATAGGACAACATGGGGGATCTTTTGATTTGTGTGTATTTATTTGTGTGTCCCAGGGCCCCTTCATACCAGACGGTGTTCTAAGAGCCTTTTTTGTTTTTCCAGGACGTGTGTTTGGGACATTTCTGGCTGGAGCTGTCCTGTGTCAACACATCTGGCAGATGTGCTGAGAACATTGTTTTTGCTTTTAGAACAGGTTCCAAGAACATTTCGTGGCAGGCCGATCGAAATGCCGGGACAGTCGTCCCTCCTCAAGATGCATCGACCCCCAATCGCCCATTGATCGCTGATAGGGGCCCGATAGCCCCAACTTGCCCAGGAAGGTGCGGATTCACGATCGAGGGCCCATCGCCGATCTATCGGCGATGTGTCGCCGATTCCAGGTCGATGCTTCCCCCCCTCTGCCATTCCCCCCCTATCGTTGCCCCCCCAGTCGAAGGGGGTTACAGTCTGGCCGAGGTGTGAGATCGAGGTCGGTTGTGGGAGGGCACCCTGGTGTTAGGTCGGGCCTTTCCTTCTACGGGAAGAAGAGTTAAAAAAAGGGGTCTGAAAATAGTCTGGGGACGATGTTTCGACTAGTCTTGGCTATCTGTCAGCGGGTTTGACCTATTTTGAAGTGTCCTTCCAAAGTCCGCCTGTAGGCGGACATGCCCGACCTAACCCTAGCGTTCTTTGTGTCTGTTGGATGTTCTTGTGCATCCTGGGGAGGGCACCCTTGGATGTTCTGTGCGTGTTGGTCGGCGGAAGGTCTCGTGTTGTTGGAGTTTGCTCTTCTGTCCTAAGTCCGACCGTACAGCAAGAGTGGGGGCGACAATTGGCAGCAGCTCCTGTCCATTGTGAAACAGATTTGCTGTCGGTGCCCCCGCGGGCCGCGCTCAAGGCCGCCTCCCCAACAGCGGCCGCCGTCGGTTTGGGACAGCAGTCGTTGCGTGGTATCGTGCGCATGTTTGCGGTACCCCGTCCAGGCGTCCCAGGCGAGGAGGATGGTCTCTGGTCTCATGCTTCATCCGCATCGCCATGACGCACATCAGAGGCAGCGTTCGGGGATATAGGCTCAGGGCGAACTGGTGATAATCGAGGTTCAAGGTTTTCGGGCGTTTCCGTAGGTCCCGATCGTCTCCATGCCGATGGC